GCCGCCACCGCCTAGGGGAGAACGAGCGGGGGGGAGAGAGGAGACGGAGTTCTTCTCCCCACCCCACGAGTATCGCGGGTCCCCCTCTTGTAGTTTTCCTAATTCACCTAATCAAAAATGCATGCTAGCCCAAAATGAAGATATTCTCAGACTTGCTTTGTATTTCTACCTGATTTGCCTATCATATTTACTCTCCTTACTTCAGCATTTATTCATCAAGCGCAAACATCAGCTTAACCATCCCTCTGTCTAATCATCACAAGTTTTTCATAGACCTAAAACAGATCTATAAGCTTATTTTCCTAATCTTATCTAAATATTTTCCCTATATTTTATAAACTATATTTTGGCAACAAGTTAATACTTAATTTTCAATCTCTATTCTCTGACCCTTTTTCTGGTGTTATTTTTAAATAATCCTTTTACAAAACATAACTGTCCTAAAACATGTAAATTTCTCTTCAACATTTTACACATTAATCTTTATATCAAAACTTATATTACCATTATTATTTTTTAATATTTTTCTGAACATTGTCCAAGGTATTAAAGATCTAGAGTCAGAAACCAAGGATTTAATGGTCTACAGTCAGATATTATATATTATTTTTCTGAGAATATTGCTTATAAATGAGCTGTTACACTACCTGTTACAATATCCTACAATATCTGAGTATTTTTAGTTTTTAATTTTAACTTCTTTATAATATAGTAACTAAAAATTCCCTTCAAATAGCAATAGAAACAAAATTTTACGAGCAACACTTGGATATTTAAACATTAAACATTAAACTAAAGAGAGATTATCTATCTAAGGTTCCTTTTATCATTCACAGTAAAATCAGCATATATTTATCTGAAACTTTCAATTCCATCATTTAAGGCATCCCATAATTCATTCATTAAATGGACATGAAAGAGAACCAAAAAAAAGCAAAATAAAAAAGAACGCAGTTATACTACCAGATAATGCACATAGCAGCATTATTTTCTGAAGCACCTTCCTCTTGATGATCATATATAGATGTCTTGCCTCTTTGTACTCAAGGTATTCTGCTCCGTTTTGCCTTTTCTGTTTTGCCAGTTCAATTTTAAATGCTTTACTTTCTCTGTTACTTTTCTTTGGGAAGTGCCTCGCTCTCCTTTTAATCAGCTTCTTCGCTTCTGCGCCTGATTCCTTTCAAACATTCCCTTTTATGTATCCTACTGTCTTAACTTGCTTTATGGCATACTTTACATCGGTTTTTTTGCTTGAAGACATATATATTTTCCCCCATAGATATAAAAGGTATGTCTTGTACTTCTTTGCCTTGGTTATCGTCCTGTTCCTTTTCGAGATTCTCGAGAGTTCGCTGGTACTGCAAAGGCACCTCCTGCGCAGTCTCCTCTTTAATTTTTAGTTCCTGATCTGTGTTTTGAAGGTTCTTAAGAATATTTTTGCAAGCTTCCTCAGCTGTTGGGAGTGAAGGACTGGTTGCTGTCCCCTGTCTCAGACTCCATTCTGTGGGACAAGAGAGTCAGACAGCTAGATAGTCAGATTAAGCTTCCTTCCTGTGTTTACTTTTCTGCCACTGTCCCTTTGATGTGCAGAATGCTATTCTCAGGTATCAACTTCCTTCAGTTCATCCTCTCCCACAAACAGTGTTCCCTCTAAGCTGAATTAGTGTGAGCTAGCTCACAGTTTTTTAGCCTCCAGCTCACAGATTTCTGCCTTAGCTCAGGAAGGATGGCTCCAGAGCACACTCATTTATGCAGCAGGAGCCAAATTGCTCACTCACAACTTTAATGCCAGTAGTTCACAAAGCAGAATTTTTGCTCTCAAGACTCCACAGCTTAGAGGGAGCAGTGCCCTCAACACACTTTTCTTCACACACACCAAGAAGGAGAACACACTGTCTCCATCTTGGCACCATGATGCAGATGGCCCTCTTGCCACCTGCATCCATCCATAGTAAGTTAGACTAGTATACTGCCCTATCTCTCCCTTCACTATCTAGAATGTAGTTCTATAATAAATAGACTTTGATTAGTCTGAAAGGTGGCTCTGTGTAACTTTATGATTAACCTTGGATACCTAGTGCAAAGACATTCCTGTGGGCTTATAGTTTAATGCACTCTGCTTAACTAGCTTTGGGAACTGGACTAACTATACCAGCTCTCCCAACAATTTTAAATGCATGCTTATGTGTTCTGGACTGGCTGAGACCAAGGCTCAAAGAATTCTTGGGGTTATGGAAGACAGCTCAATAAAATGTCAACTCAGTGTGGCTTGGTTGATCTCCCCCCTCCCCAATTCCATGTTGGGGTTTTTTAGGAGAGGGGTTGTAGCTAAACAGCCGATATTGCAATGCCCTTCTATAAAGCAATGGTCTGCCAGCATTTGGAACACCGTGGCAGTTTTGCTCACCAAGTCTCAAAACAATTATTGCAGAGTTAGAAAAAGTACAGAAGAAGGCAACCAAGGTCCCGTTCACAAGCAGAATTAGCCATGCAATACGAGCGAATGACGGGCAGATTTTCCAGGTGCAATCACATGACAACATCTGGCAAGCCTCCTGCGCCCATTGGCAACTCGTTGCAATCCACCGAAGAAGCGGATTAAAAAATACCTGGGCAAGGGCAGTAGCAAGTAGGTTTGCGACAGGCTGCAGATGGACTTCCCCGAGTGGTCACTCCGGCGCCCTCCCATTGCATCACTGATCCCTCATTGGAGTGCATCCAAAAACATGTGGCAGAGGAAAAAACCTGATTCACCCACCGCATCTGATCATGCTGTGGCGGGTCAAATTGATTTGGCGCAAAAAGCCTCACTCCCCCCCGGTGTTATCTGGCACGTGTGACCGCATCCCAAGATTGTCAAAGTGTTGAAGCATTTTTTCCCATGAAAGAAGACACTGGGACTTTGAAGAAAGTGGATAGAGGGAACTTTTCCTCACACTCTCTTAATACTAGGACATGGGAAGTAGATAGGCAATAGATTTGTTGTTGTTGTTGTTCAGTCACACAATCGAGTCCGACTCTTTGCGACCCCATGGACCAGATCACGCCAGGCCTTCCGGTCTTCTGCCGTCCTCTGAAGTTGGCTCAACTTCATGTTTGTTGCATCTATGACACTGTCTAACCATCTCATCCTTTGCCGTCCCCGTCTTCTTTGACCTTCAATCTTTCCCAGCATCAGGGTCTTCTTCTCCAGGGAGTGCTCCCTTCTCATTTGGTGGCCAAAGTATTTGAGCTTCAGTTTCATTATCTGGCCTTCCAGGGAACAGTCAGGGTTGATTTCTTTTAGGATTGACTGATTTGATCTCCTTGCAGTCCAAGGGACTCTCAAGAGTCTTCTCCAGCACCATAGTTCAAAAGAATCTATTCTTCGGCGCTCGGCCTTCCTTATAGTCCACCTCCCGCAGCCATACATGACTACTGGGAATACCATTGCTTTGACCATGCGGACTTTTGTTGGCAGGGTGATGTCTCTACTTTTTATCATGCTGTTTAGGTTCGCCATCACTTTCCTCCCAAGGAAATCTTTTAATTTCATGGCTGCTGTCACAGTCTGCTTAGAGTCTGAATCCTCTGAAATCCAGAACTAGGAGGAAACATCAGGGCAGGACCTTGACTATTACGTTCAGTTTGCTGGCTCCTCAGGGCAACCGGTTATTCACCTGCTGTGTGAAACAGCCTTTTGGGACTCTATGGATTGCCTTTCTGGTACAGCAAGGTTGTTCTTATGTGCATCTCCAGTTGCTGGCATTATAATAAAAAAATTCCAGATTTAAGATTGATTTCGGATGTGAACAGAGCACTATAACCAGTCTGAATTTCATTCCTGGTCTTATCTTGGGACACATCTCAGCAGGCAGGCCAATTCCAGAGCGTAGCAAAGTGGGGCAGAGCTTGGGCTAACTACTCAAAGCTAGGATGACAAGTGTTTTTGTATAGTTTCTGTGCATTCTTACCACTGGGCAAATCCCTTTCTCATCTCCTTTTGTGACTGGTGTCGATCTGGATCCATACCCATCCCAGAAGTTAACCAGTAAGAAGACCCAGACCCAAGAGTTTAACCCATTATAGCAGTTTAATAAAGCACAATATGGATAAGATATAAAATATCTGCTCATGCCAGCCATACAAAGCAAACAGAATAGATAAATGAAATAATGAAGATGATGCCCTAAAAGAAAGACAAAATACCAAATCCTTTCATAAAGTTATTAGATCACACAGAATATGATGCATAAGATGTGTAGAGGCATTATGTATATATTTATTTTATTTATTTATTTTTATTTTATTATTAGATTTATATCCCGCCTTTCCACATGGGCTCAGGGCGGCTAACATAAGAGGCAAATGCCACACCTAAAACAATTTAAAACCAATAAATAATCATTACAATTAAAATATCGGTGCTCAGCAGTAAACTATGACAGTTCCAAGATGGGGATTCCGATGATACGCTCCAGGGAAAAGATTCCACCAACAAAGATGACAACACGGTGGTGGTACAGTGGCGGTGGCGGCTCCTACTCGAAAGCCTGGCAGAAGAGCTCCGTCTTACAGGCCCTACAGAACTGTGCTAGGTCCCGCAGGGCCCTGATCTCTTCCGGGAGCTCATTCCACCAGGTAGGAGCCACCACCAAAAAAGCCCTGGCCCTGGGAGCAGCATATTTAACAACCTTTGGGGCTGGGATAACCAACAGGTGTTGTGCCCCCGACCGTAGTGCTCTAGGGGGAACATATGGGGAAAGGCGGTCCCTCAGGTAAGCTGGACGCTGGCCATATAGGGCTTTATAGGTAAGAACCAGCACTTTGAAGCGGATTTTTGACACATGAACGGGTTTGCCAACCCAGTTTGCAAGTCTATGGAGGGGATATGCATCCAAGCCGAAGACTTTGCAAAAATGTCTCATTGTTTCAGCCAAGATGACAATATCACAGATGAGAGAGAGGCCAGGGCCAGGGCCAGGAATTGCCCCTATGCCACAAGACACCAGGGCTACTTTTCATATGAAGGACTCCATAGCAGCCTTCTTCTTCTTCAGGACTTCTTTGGGAAAAGCTGGCATAGCTGTAATTAAAACATCTCTCTTGAGATCATCCAAGTCATTCTCCAAGGTCTCTTGAAGGAGGGGGAAGTCATACAGATCCAAATCCTACCTGGAGATGAGAAAAACCATTGGAACAGATTCTCCTCTTGCCTGTGTCAGGTTATCTCTGCAGCATGTCCTAATCTTCTCCAGGTATTTCTCAGCGAAGTCTGGTTTCCTTCTTTCAGAATCTATACTGACATCCACTTTGGTGCGCACATAGTAGAACTTCTTGCTCATCTTCTGAATTTCATGAGCCAGGAGAGCATCATTCGCAGTGAAGCGATTTGAGGCAACGATTATGAAGAAATCATACTCTGCAAAATGTACCTTCTTCAAGTATTGCTTTGGTTCAAACTGGGGAGTCCCAATTCCTGGAAGATCCCATAGTGTTACTTTGGGGAATGTGGGATGGGGATATTTCTGTTGCTCCATTGTTGTTTCCGTGTCCCCAGTTTCGGCTGCACCTTCTTCAAAGTCTGTCATTCCTCGCAGGGCGTTGACAAGCAAAGATTTTCCAGCACCCGACACCCCTGTGATGGCAATGTTAAGGGTGGTGTTCTTTAACAAATTCAAGTAATTCCTATTTTTTTCTATCACATCTTAGAGATATTTATTTACCAAATCATCCTTCAGGTTTTGAAGTTCTTCTCTTATGATTGCCTTTGAGATGGCAACACCCATGGCGGTTCTTCTCGATTGTTTGCTTGAATAAGAAAATGAAATGAAAGAAGCGAAGCTGTTAATTTAATGTCAGATAATATCCAAGCAATAGTTTCCCTTTGACAAAATAGATTTACTTGTGTGAGAAAACTGATCCATTGAGGGCATTCTTCCACTGATGGACTGAGAAATCTGCGGTGGCTCAAGTGCTTAAGACGCTGAACTGCAGGCTGTGGAAGGTCAGTAGTTCAATAGTTCAAGACCCGGGTTGCCGCATGACGGAATGAGCTCCCGTCTCTAGTTCCAGCTCCTGCCAACCTAGCAGTTCGAAAGCAAGAAATTGCAAGTAGATAAATAGGTACCACTTCAGTGGGAAGGTAACAGCGTTCCGTGCGCCTTGGTGTTTAGTCGTGCCGGCCACATGACCACGGAAACGTCTTCGGACAGCGCTGGCTCTTCGACTTTGAAACGGAGATGAGCACCGCAACCCTAGAGTCAGACTTGACTGGCTTTCGAGCAAGGGAAACCTTTACCTTTACCTTTAATGATGCGGTAGCCTTTAAAACACACATTGCTGTCTTTTGTCCCTTTGTGATCATTCTCTCACAAATCCAAAATCACATCATTGCTCCCTCCTCCCTTCTTCACTTTTGTTATGACCAGACCATTTCATTGTGAGCTACATAAGGTTCCCCAAGAGGGAAAATCGCAGCTTGCTGAGTCAGTTCCTGATGGAAAAACCATGCAGAGGGAAAGGCATAGGCCCCCTCTGTCTATGCAGGATGATCTGGATCCGGATAGGCCCCCACATGCCAATGGCTGCTAACTGTTTGAAGAAACAATGGCCTGCCTCTTTAACAGAGGCTTCATTGGATTTTATTTACCTCTAAACCATAAGGAGCTGTGGTGGCTCAAGTGGTTAAGACGCTGAACTGCAGGCTGTGGAAGGTCGGTAGTTTAGCAGTTCGAGACCCGAGTGTGCCACATGACGGAGTGAGCTCCCGTCTCTAGTTCCAGCTCCTGCCAACCTAGCAGTTCGAAAGCAAGACATTGCAAGTAGATAAATAGGTACCACTTCAGTGGGAAGGTAACAGCGTTCCGTGCGCCTTGGTGTTTAGTCATGCCGGCCACACTACCACGGAAACGTCTTCGGACAGCGCTGGCTCTTCGGCTTTGAAACAGAGATGAGCACCGCAACCCTAGAGTCGGACTCGACTGGCTTTTGAGCAAGGGAACCTTTACCTTTTTAAAGGGATGGAACATTCTTCCCAAGGCCTGTTGGCAACTCCACACACATGCCTGAAAATTAATTTCTCAGCAGGGAACACTAGTTTTTTGTGTGTCAAAGTTCTCCAGGTGACCATGAGGATGTTGTTATGCATGAATTGTCTGTAAGGCATCACATCATACACAATGATCGGGCCAGCCTGTCTCCATTTCACCTGACAAGGCTCATTTTGATATCACATTCTAAGAGGGTGAGGTTAAAGTCACTCAAAGCTTAAAAATAGCCTGTCTCCCGCAGAGGAAAGGAAGATAGCATTCAATGGGTGGAGTTCAGGCTTTGGGTACTCAGACAGTTATCTGTCAACATTATTACCGGAATGCCCACTGCACAGTGTCGGGGGATGTTTAGGGTTGTCAAATTCCCTCGTAGCTCTGGCAGGGGATTTGGAGGGATTGCTCCCACGGCGGCAGAGAAAAGTAGTTCATTTTTATACCCCACCCTTTCTTCACTACTCGGAACGCTGTTACCTTCCCACTGAAGCGGTACCTATTTATCTACTTGGAATGTCTTGCTTTCGAACTGCTAGGTTGGCAGGAGCTGGAACTAGAGTTGGGAGCTCACTCTGTCATGCGGCACACTCGGGTCTCGAACTGCTGAACTACCGACCTTCCACAGCCTCTAGTTCAGCGTCTTAACCACTTGAGCCACCGCAGCTCCTACATAACAATTAGTACACCTTTTAAAAATATTCTTCGGAGTCTTTCAGTTCCAAAGCTCACA